AAAGAAAATTTACAATATTCTATATCATTAGAGGCTAGGTGATACTTTGGCCATGATGACCTTCCCTTGCTGTCCTCCCTCCCATTCCCCAATGGTTATATCAGATTTTTATTTTCAAATAATTAGGAAAACAAATTTTCATTTTTGTAAAGTAGACCCAATCATTCCACTAACATGTGTAATGTTAACAATAAGCTATTCCTTATGGGAGCTTCAAAAAAATAAGTGAAATATGAAGACTTTTAGAGGGCTTGGAGTTCCCAGAAAGGCACTGGGCCCATGTCTGTTCAGCCAGGGAACAAGAGATTCAAAAGGGTTTGTTGCAGTTTTGAACAACCAAAGGAATAAAAAAAAATGTCAGATTTCATTTTCACTGAAAAGAGATATAAAAAGGGAAAGATTTATATTAAGCCTAAAGAATTCAGACTACACATCAATTGGAAAGAACACCCTGCCTAAAGAAAGACACAGCAAGAGAGAGCAGAGGCTTTTAAAGAAAGGCAAACAAGACGCCTTTGTGAATTGCTTAGAAGTAGATAGAGATTCACCCACGCACAAGATGATGCCCTTTCCTACGGGAAGAGTCCCAATGCTTTAGCATATTTATGACTTCTTTTGCTTTTATGCTTAGAAAGTCCTTCATCTACCCCAACATCACATAAATATCAACTATGTTTTAGAATATGAATTTTTTACATTTAATTCTCTAACACAGCTGGAATTTATCCTGCTGAATGGTGGGAGAAAGATATTTTTTTTCCAAAAGTTTTTTCAATCATCCTAATGACTAACAGTATGCTTATAAATATTTTATGCATTTAGTTATAACCAGGGAATACCTAGGCATTTCTCTAAATTTCCACCTTTAAGAAGTACCTAAATGCCACTTTAGCCAACAATCTTAACATATAACAGTAGTCCTTACATTTGGAAGGGATTCAATATCTCTACCTTGGCCCATTTGCATCTTTAAAAGCTCCAGTCATAAGACCTGAGCCCTGAGAACAGAGAGCATCACCAGCAAAAAATTTGGACTGACATAGACAAGAGCCCTCTGTTTGATCAAGCACACTATCTAGGCACACTCTGAAGAAAAAAGAAAAAAAAAAGAGCCGAAGAATAGAAAACTATCTTTATGGATACTTCTAGGTTAAAAACACAGGAGGAGATCTCAACCTTTGAGTAAGATGATCCAGTGAACAATCAGTCTATTGAATTTCAATGGCATTTTATAAACTTATTATTTAGAAAGAAGGGAACAGCAAAGAGCTACTATCTCAGTCTTCCAGTCTATTAGCAAATAAACCAGGAGTCTTGGGCTCAACTGCTTACAAAACGGATAAAGGGAATAAATGAGCAAAGGGGATCCAGTAAACTGAGCTTTAGAGTCTGAAAAGCAATGGGGAGCATTGGAGACTTGGCCAACTAGAATTCATGTCCCTGAAACACTTGCTCCTTCTAGTGGAGACACTACAGAGCTGCTGCAGTTTGTGCCACTCAAAATTCAAGCGGAGAATTGCCAGATCCTCCAATATTCCTAAAGAATCCATTATAAATTCTTACATAAATTTCTTGTTTCTTGGAGTTTGGCAACTAATTAATTTTTAAAACATACAAGCCACATGTATGTATGAGCCACATTGGCCCACAGGACACTACTGTGGGATCTCAGATTACACATGCAACCCATGTCACCCAGTTTTCAAAGTTCTCTACCTTGCTCCCATGCCCTATGTGCTTCCTTCCTATTGCTGCCCTTTCCTTGATATGCCAAATTATTGCAAGCTTCGCAGAATCTAGTGGAGTATGAGTAAAGGATGCTATACTACCTCATTCACCCAATTTAAGGATCTGCTGAACTCTGATCTTAATACAAGGAACTAAAAATTTAGGAAATAAAAATTAATTATGGATAGTTATGTTAAGTCAGACTACTGAGCCAAATTAAATCATTTTTTAAATTATAAATAATAAGTCTTACATCTCTGAAAAGTCTTTTTTTTTTTTTCTTTTAAGAACTCTTAGATGTCTTGTTTCATATATCAAAAATGATTAACTGCTGGGACCGGTTTGGCTCAATGGATAGAGTGTCAGCTTGGGGACTGAAGGGTCCCGGGTTCGATTCCGGTCAAGGGCATGTACCTTGGTTGCAGGCATATCCCCAGTAGGGGGTGTGCAAGAGGCAGCTGATTGATGACTCTCTCTCATCGATGTTTCTAACTCTCTATCTCTCTCCCTTCCTCTCTGTACAAAATCAATAAAATATTATTTTTTTTAAAAATGATTAACTGCTCTCAGGGTCACAGCTTTGGCATTAGCTAGCATTATTTCATGCTAGTTATCAAAGAATAGACCTCAAAAGAAATTCATTAGCAAAACTGAAAATCATTTCCATTGAAAATGTAGGATTTTTAGCTTCTACACAAAATTGACTACCTACGTTAAAATATGTTTACCTAATGGCATCCTATTCCAATCAATGTAAGTCAAAAGGTTTAAGGAATGAGTTAACCCTCCTGGGATTCAACCTACACATCTAGTTTGTAGATACACAGTTTCTAGATATCTTTTTCCACAGGCTGTAACAGGATTTCTATCCTATACAATAAAAGGCTAATATGCAAATTTTTCCCACAGGAGTTCGACCGACCGGGAGTTTGGCTGACCAGGAGTTCAACAGCTAGATATGAAGTGCGCTGACTACCAAGGGGCAGCATGGAATGAAGGAGGATCCCAGCTGGAACCCGCAGCCGGGGAGGTGGGGCGGGGGGGAGGGGGGGGAACGACACAGACCATGCATGAATTGCATGAACAGGGCCTTTAGTATTAAATAACCTTTGTTAATCATATAAACAAAGTATAGTCTTTAGTAATCTAGAAGACTTTCTTCTTTTATTACATATGGTTTTTAATGCAGGGTATATCAAACATATTTACTTAAGAAGGACTGTATCAGTCCTGCTGGCAGGGCCCAATAGTTGAGGGTTGACCTATGAACCAGGAAGTCATGGTAGATGCCAGTCAAGGCATATGCCTGGGTTGCAGGCTTGATTCCACCACCCCAGTGTGGGGTGTGCAGAAGGCAGCCAATCAATAATTCTCTCTCATCATTGATGTTTCTATATCTCTCTACTCTGAAATCAAATATATATATATATATATATATTTTTTTTTTTTAAGAAAAGGATTGGATCAGGGAAGGTTACTATATCATGACCATTTACACACATTAGTCTAGTCTTGCTGATATCCAAGTGTGATAATTCTCTATTCTGTCTATCCTTCTACACAATAAACCCTCTATTGATTATATTTTAGAGGGTGGCTGCCTCTGACATCAATTTGGAAATAATCAGCTGTAACTCCTAGCTGAGTTCAAAATGGACAATTGTAGAATAGACCAGAGACATCATAAATATAACTGGTTCAAATTAGAATTCATTTTTAAAAGTTCCAAGTTCTTTTGTTTCTAAATGAGATAATTTTACAATAAGACATTATGAAAATGGAAAATGAGGAAAAAAATCTAAGAAGTGATTTTTAATCCAGTTTTTAGAATTCTTTTACCAGCAGCATAATGGGAATTAAGTAGCTATAATGAGGATGTACTCAGTCAGTCCATATGCATACTCAACAACAGCAAGTACTCATCATTAGGCATGATATTCATCAGTACATAAGCCCCCAGTCTTCCTTGGTTGTAAACAAAATACCAAGATGACCCAGTGGCTTCAAAATTCAGTAACAGGACAAATCCCTTCATCAATAATGTCTCTCTGAAAACACTCACCCTTATGTACATGATTTATAATTGTTTTTGTTTCTTATTAAAAGACCTACAAAATTTTAAAATTTAAGTACTGTGCTATGAGATCAGGTAAATTATTCACATGTTGTTAATACTTTATTTTGCTAGGCAACATCCATACTTTCCAAGAAGGAAGATGAAAAGGAGGAGAAAGAGGATAAAAAAAAATGGGAAGATTGCTAACCCCACAATACTCAAGAAATGTAAGAGTATTGTAATTCATAAAAATTTACATAACAGAGGATAATACCTATACAATGGTCTGGTTATTAAAGCAAACCTTTTGACAATAAAACAGTAGTATTTTTGAACAATCATAAAACAAGAGGAAAATCTGATTTCTTAGAAAAATAAACAGTTTCAGAAAGAGCCATAGCAAATGTTGATTTTTTTCCCTTTTAACCATTTTTGTTGTTGTTGTTGTTGTTGTTATCTTTTAAAATACATTTTTATTGATTTCAGAGAAGAAGGAAGAGGAAGGGAGGGAGGGAGGGAGAGGAAGGGAAGGACAGACATCAATGATGAGAGGGAATCACTGATCAGCTGCCTTCTGCACACCCCCTACTAGAGATGGACCCTGCAACCTCAGCCTGTGCCCTTGACCAGAATCAAACTGGGACCATTCAGTCCACAGGCCAATGCTCTAGCCACTAAGCCTAACTGGCTAGGGCTTGCCATGTTTTCTTGACAGCGTAAATTCTGAAGTACAGATCTACATGAAGAATAGCAACAAGTTTTACAAAATGATGAAGTTACTATATTTTGCATGCCACAAATGACCAATAGCTCTATAAAATCTGATTCTTCCATAAAAATAAATTAGATTTCTAAATGAAAATACACCTTCCATACCTATTTATGACATCACATCCAGAGTAGCAGATTTACTCATGAACAGTAAATGTCAAATTTACATTCTTCTCTAGCAACTAACTCATACTTTTTTATACAAAAATGACATACAACATATTATTCTTTCTTAAGAAATAGTTAGTTGTCCTTGCTTTGATTTTCATAATAGAGCTTAACCATTTTCATTTCCCCCTTTAAGGGCAGGACACCAACTAAGCAAGAACCTTTTAGTTTTTATTTCAAAAACACTATGGAAGTTTGGCTATCAGTCTCATGATAATGAAAATGAAATGATTCAATATTAGTAATGCAGATAAAGGCTCATTATATTCCAACTTACCTAAAACACTGACAAAGGCATCAAAAAGATGAAATGTAAGCAGAGGCTCTTTCAAGTGACCATAGTAATCTGCTATGGTCTTAAAGACATCTTTCTCAAATCCCACGTACATAGGCTGTTTCAAATCTGAACAATTAGGCCCTATTGAAAGAGAATGAGATAGAAAGAGAAACATTAACAGGGCACCCCCTGAGTACTAACCTCTGTGTATATGTATATTCTGTACAGATATTCAAGATCAGAAAAGTTTTCATGGGGAAAACTTACATCAAATAAATTGGCATTATATATTTTGCTTACACAAATATGACAGAAAAGTTTTCATGGGGGAAACTGACATTAAATAAATTGACATTATACATTTTGCTTATGTCTACATTGAAATCTATTATAACACAATGAGAAAAATCACTTCTATTTTTTTTAAAAAACACACACACTCTTTTATGCCCTTCCGAAAGGCATTTTTATTAAATGCAAACAATGACAATTTTCTTTGAAATATTCAATATTTTCCTAGTCTTGACACAGTTGACCATGATAGCAATTAGTTCATGATAACAATTAGCTCACACATGTAATAGATAAGTTACAAAATAATCTTAAAGCTTTTCATTATTTTATCATTGCTATATTATAATATTCTAGAGTCAGAGTTGAGTGAAAATTATCACGTTCTGCCTCTAAATTATTTCAGACTGGATAGAATTTATACATTCTTTAAGATATTTTGAAAAGGTAATTTTACATTATGTCTTTCATTCTGATTATAAAACTCTCTACTCAATCCCCAACTAACCATCAAAAGATAGTTTATCAAGCAGATATTGCAAAGTTGGAGTAACTATACAAAGCCTGGAACAATCTCGTTCTAGCCCTGCCCACTGCCAGCAGCAAGGCAAAGATCCACTTGTATCTGGGACTAAGAGGAACAAGAAATGCTTAGCTCTCTTCAGAGTTGGCAGCAAATGCCCCCAACAATACCTACAGAGACCACAGATTTACACTGTTAAGTGGAGGGGCAAACTAGAGCTGTCCATGTCTTCAGGGAAATGGCAAATAGTTTTACGGGAACATTTGGCCAGCCTTCTCTATTTCCATCACCACATGGAAGAAAGAAGTTCAATTGCACTGGCCAGTTCCAGGCCAGAACATAAGACTCAACAACTGTTCCCAAAGAGATCTCCTCCCTCAGGAGAATGAAAGATGAAGCCAATAAAAACAGAAAGAAAACTCTAACTACAGAACTATTATAACTAGAAAGGATCAAACTGAAAAAGACAAGCATTCTGGGCCTTCACATTTCAAGGCAATTGGCACAGTGAATATGGCTTTTTGTTGGTCTCTCTAAAAAAATCTTCTTACCTCTTAATATTCTGTACACTTCTTATAAAATAATTTGGTTAAAATAACAAAAATTTTTGAAAGATCTTTATATGTGGTACCACATTAACCTAGCAGCAAACAACCACCATTTTTTTGCTTGCTTCCTCCTCTAAAATATTGCAGGCTAAATCAAGTGAAATGCTGTCATTAGTTTGATATGTCCCAGCAAGCAATACACATTGCCTTGGCTTACTCCCTCCCAGGATAAATATGCAGTTCATTCTAAGCAATAGTACCCTTTTGTGAACATTCCATCATTCTTGTTAAAAATATGCACACAAAAAAAAGGGGGGAGGGGGAGTTTCCTAAAAATACTTCTGCATAGTGAACTCTATGAGAAGAGGCCATATTTCTAAGATCTTTCATTTCTTAATTATCTTGAACTTCAGAATATTTTTTAAAACTAGTCTTTTATAAATGTTATCCATGACAGACTTTAGAAGAGTTGTTTATATCCATTTCTGATTGAATTCTTGCAATCTACATGCACAAAGAAGAAAAAAATCAGCTAACCTGATTTTGTACTTATCTGGCATTAGTTCTTCATTCTGCGGTCAACCACAAGGCTAGACACCAATGAAAGTACCCAGGCCTATGTGTGCATGGTCTACAATAAATGCGGACAGGCTTAAAGAAGGGGGCAGCAGATTTATAGAAAAGAAGCATTAGGTCTTCAAAATATTATATAATCAGTCTATCCTTTCTGCTCCCTTTTAGATGACTACAACAGGAACCTAGACTCACTAAAAATAAAAAGTGTAAGAAATAGTTCATAACTTTAACAGATTCAAAGTAAATTTTGGAGACCAATGAGAATTTGGAAAAATTAAATATTTTACAAAACTAATCAAAAGGCTAATTTTGCTATTCACACTCTGAATAATAATATATAATCATTTTTTATATATTACCACTGAGATCACCCACTATCATCTGAATATTTTAATTTCATTCTGTAATCAAACAAAATAACTTCAGTTAAGTAATTCAGAGTCTACTAATTCAAGAATGCATACACCTATCTCTGCTCATACTAGTCTCACCCAAAATAGAAGAAAGAAACTACCTCTGTGAGGCTTCCAAAGACCCAGAAATATCACCACTATCAGTCAGCCAAATAACTAGAATTCTTCTTGTTAAAACCATTGGTTTGAGTTAAGCCACTAACCAGTGAAATTCCTTCTTTGGGTCAAGCCTTCTGAAAATTTCCCTCAAAATAGTAATGTTAAAAGACATACTTCAATTATTCATCGTTTCACAGTGCCTGTGATATCCAATGAAGTGATATAATTCTTAGGATAGTTGAATAAAGTAGATATCAACTGCCTATGAAATAGATTTTGTATGCCTATGAAAACCTCAAAGGGACCATCCTGATACAAGTGCCTTCATCGTACATCCAAATTACTGAAAGTCTTTCTTGCTTCTCTGCATGCAGGTTCTTCTCCTTCCAAACCATCCTGCATTCCAATCAGATTAGTGTTCTAAACATTTCTCCCCCATTTAAACTACTGCCCTGTAAAAAGCCAATAGTAGACAGGATCTGCTAAGCAAACTGATGGTGTAAATATAGGACATACTTAGGAACACGTGTTTCAGGAATAAAAATCAGACAACAGAAAATGAAAACACAAATTCCTTTAAACCCATTCTATAATCAGCCCTTTCACCAAGTCACACATTTATCAGTAAAAGTACAGTAATCTCAAAATGATTAACTACCAATCACACAGGTTCAGGTCATTGGGCAAAAATATATTCTAATTCAGGGTGCCAATTTCTGTTAAGTTCATAAAATTGGCAGACAATAAGTACGTACTTACAATTTGCCAAACACTTCATTGCTGACAGTACCCAATGAGGAAGTTCTTCTGCATAAAAATAATATATTTTATTCAATTGCATATAACTCTAGAAATTACATACATAATTGATATCATAAGAATGTAGTACTTGCCTAAGTAGTAAACAACATATCTGCTAATCAAAATCACCTATTTATGTATTAGAACTTTAAAAGATGAAAATTTTTCCTTAGCAGCAATGGTACATTTGCTTGTATAAATTATGCCTGCAAAATTCTCTAAAAACAAAATGAACTTTTTAAAGCTTTAGTGACAAGGAGAAATGTGATCATTTGTTCCAGAGAAACAAATTAACATACAAATCAATTATCATAAGACTTATATCAGTCAATGAAAAAAAGAGGAAAAGCAAAAAGGTTAGTCATGAAATGCATTTGTGAAACAAGCTCACCAAAAAAATAAAAAAAATTAAAAAAGGTGAATTCTATATGCGCAAGGTCCAATATTTGTATCACTTTACATGTTTCAATTTTCAAAATGTTTTAAGCAAACCAAGTTCTACTGACATCAGTGTAGGCTATTCATATTAGAACAGCCTTAAAATAAGTAATAATGGTTAACACACTGCTACAAAAATCCTAGGTGAGCCATTCTGGTAGTCTTTTTCTCCTTCCTGGCCCTGTCACAGGCATCTGATGAGAAGGGCTGGTACTCATGCTTCCACTTCTTCATCTTCTCTACTTTCGGTAAAATTGAAAAGACACTGGTTGAATTGTTAGACCTAATGAACCTGAGACTTGTGAGTGCTCTCCTTGCTAAAGAACTTACTTAATAAGACAAAAAAAAAAAAAAAAAAAAAAAAAAAAAAAAAAAAAAAAAGACTGGTCATTCAACTGGTAGCTAAAAGTATGAATGTTTGTTATACTCAGAGAATGTGAAAGTATTTTAGATCTACTTCTAAGGCAACACCCCCCTCAATCTATGTAACTTAATTTTACATGTTGGTATTAACCAGACAACTCCTAAGTTCACAAATCTATTTCTGTTTCCTGGTGTCCTTCATTCCTGATACAGGGGCTAAAAAGGGGGAGTATTTCAAGTTTCAAAGACACATTCTATTCTTGTCAGGAAACTTAGCCTTGAACAACCTCTTCCCTCTCACCACTGCTCAGGCTCCTTCTGGTACAGCTCTGTCTGCTGCCAGGAGCTCCAGCCTAAACTCCAATAAAACCCAAAAGTACTGTACCACCTTCCCACAGCCAAAGGTCATTCTAATCCCAGCTAAATCCCAGGATTAAGTGTTTGAAGTAAAGGAAGACCCAGTCAAAGAGCCTATTCAATTCTAGCCCATCCCTTATCCATGGGAAGGAAGTTGAAAAATCAGTTTGGAGATTCTGGCCCACTACATGTACTGTGAGAATATTTTTTTAAAAATCAGGACCCTACCCAGTTTTCCCTGTGGATAGAGCATCAGCCTGCAGATTAAAAGGCCCCAGGTTTAATTCTGGTCAAGGGCACATGCCCAGGTTGCAGGCTCTATACCTAGTACGGGACACGCAGGAGGCAGCTAATCAATAATTCTCTCTCATTATTGATGTTTCTCTGTATCTTTCTTCCTTCCTCTCTGAAATCAATAAAAATATATTTAAAACAAAACAGTATAGATAGCTGCTAAATGTTTTGTTTTTTTCCTGATTTGTAAACTGACTTGAAAAAAAAAAGTATACAAAATTGAAAAACCTTCAACCTCTAAAAAGCTACCTTTATAAAAAGAAAAAAAGACATAAACCAAAAGTATCCCAGAAACACTGACACAGAAATATCATAACAAAAAGGTCAATGAGAACCTAAAATCAATCAGACCCCAGAATCCACCTGAAAACTGACTCAAGTTCTAAGGTAGGTCTTAAACCTACTCACTTTTTAGGGATTTTATGAGGATAATGCCCATTGAGGCTAACTGAACTGGCCTCTGGATGATTTTGCTGACGTTTTCACTCCTGAGTATTCATCATTCTATGACATTTCTTTAAACCAAACAATTAGTTAAAGGGTATGAGGATGCGAGATGAGAAAGTATAAATTTAGTTAGGATTTAGAGAAGCATCAAATAGAAGGTGATAGGTAAGCAGCAAAGATATGGATCAACCAGAAACAAAATGGTTTCTATGCACTTACTTGATTTGTCATCAAGGATAACAACTCCCTGCTGGCTCACACTATATACATTATGTATGATGAACTTGGACTTGACAAGTTTAATGTCTAAAACTTCTTCTAAGGAATCTAGACCAAGGATTTTCTGTAAACTAAAAAGAAAGATGATATTTACATTATTTAGTTAAATTTTTAAAGGTCATTATTTACCCCAGCACTAGAAAATATCAATCTTTAAACTGTGCTGTTTTCTTGCATATCACCCAATTCTTGTGGGGCAAAAGGCTAGAAAATGATTATGATAGAATACACTGAAAAATATCCTTTTGCCATTAACATTTAATGACGTAACACCTTAAATGCCAAGAAAATTTCATAAGATGTTATAAAAACAAGAATTAGCTTATCCAATGATGAAAAACAACTGGTACTAGTACATCTTTGTGAGAAAAAAAAAACACCTGCTATTAATTATATAGTACATAAAATATTTAAAAGACCAAATTTCTCACTGTAATTCATTAAGAGTTCAGTATTATTAGAAAATTAAAGAACTTTCAAATGTCTACTCCTAACTATTATATAAATTGCAAAGAAAATAAAACAGAATCCAGTTAAATTATGTTTTATAAGTAGCACAGCTGCAAATAATGCTAAATTGAGATTTTTATACATAATTTTAGAAAATTAAATATCAGCTATTAATGAAGAAGCAAATTAGAAAAAAAAACACACTAAGAAGTCTCATTAATATCAAATGCACATACTGTGATAATGTCATAGACTTCCATATCTCTTCTACATTGGCCTCTGTCAGCTGTCTGCGGTAGACAAGGCGGCAAGCCGGCACCTCTCCAATAGCAATGCTGTGACGCTTGTACCACATCTCAGAATTCTGATGTCAGGGAGGGGAGTAGAAAGAGAATATTTCAATTGACAGTGGTATTGTCTTATAAGAAATTCTTTAATTTTGTTATTGGTAATTTGATTTAAAATGAAAAGAAATAAACTAACTTTCTTTGCATGCAGTGCAGAGAAATAAAGTATGGCTATTAAAAATCAGGTCATATTATAAATTAAGATTCATGAATTATAGAAGAGCTATGATGATAAGCATGAAATTTCTTGTGGGAGCTCCCAATAATCAAGAGAAGTAGCAATGAAATAAAATTTTATTATTTCAAAATTAAATAGAATACCTATTTATACACTGTCCAAATTGAATGATTATTTAAAATAAAATTATATTATATTCAAGAGTGTTCTCATTTTTGTAAGCTAAGATCAAATAAGTACAGTGTTGACTAGCAGCCCCAGACTGTAAGCATATGCAAAAGGGAGGTAAAACAAACTTCCACAGAGAAGAGCTTGAGATGGCAAGGAGAAAAACTACACAAAAAAAAGTTAATATTAATTCTCTCTGGATGATATTATTTTGTCTCTGCCTATAAACAATTCTTTTAAATATGTTACTAAGTATCTGTGTGAACTCACCTGATTCTCGAAACAACTCTACCTCAGAGGGGTATTATCATCCCAGTTCCATCCAAAAGAACACTGGGACACAAACCCAATGAATGAAACAGACATAAGGTCAAATAGGTAGTAAATGGAGGAGCCAAGATTCAAGAGCCACACTTACTTTCCACATTATACTGCCACCCTCAGCAAACACAAGAAATAAATTTATGTATTTCATTTTATTTAATATAATGGCTAGGAAAGAGAGAAAATAGGACAAAACAAAAACCAACAAGCAAAGTGGAGGTAAAAACAGAAAGAGGGAAAGTAAGAAATAAAAAATGAATAATAAGCTCAAGTTCTTCAAGATGATGAACTGTTTCTCTATTGATTACCACCATCATTCTAACACCTATATCAAGGGAAATAGATCCTGCTCTGCCATTCCTTATTGGACAATTCTCAAGAAGCAGCTGTCAAGGCTTTAGTGGAATTCCAACAAGTAGGGAGCTTTCAAACTTCTACAATTCCATTTAAGGGGAAAGTATGAGAAAAGGCAAGACAATAGTTATCAAAACAAATGTAAATTCAGATGACCAGGAAAAGTTACACTGGGGACAGGGAGGTGCATGAATCAAGACACCTGTATAACACTTCAGGGATCCTGAAAGATTTGAAACTGAAAAGAAAATAGAAGTGACTGTCCTGGTGTATTAAAGTATGCTAACAAGCAGTTGGTTTTCTTAGAGGTAATACCAGGAATATTATGACTTTGAGGAACCAAAAAGAACAGAAAAAAGAAGTTATTATTGATGGCATAAACACACATTAATTTAATATGGGATTCTATCTCTGTTGAATAACAATCCTATGGATGGGGTCTTATTAGATGTTTAAATGTGAATGTGCAAAAATAATATACCTTATCTCACAGGACTTATATTTTAATTTTCTTTAGGATAGGAACTAGCAAGCAGACCTTAATAAAGTGTCCCTTATTAGGAATTAAATAGCCCTCAAATACCCTTTATGCTCACTCTTTCAGAATAGTTCTACTATGTTTCCTATTAATCTATGTTTGTATTGTTAGGCTTCACTAGACTTTGAATCCTTTTAGAATAAAACTGTATCACATATTACTGAATCTGTAGAGCCTAGAACAATGCAAGACACACAGTAGACACTCAATAAACCTTTGTTGAGTGAATAAGTTAATGACTTCCAAATATGACTGCTCCCCTAAGTTCAAGCACCATTATCTCCATCTGCCTATTAGACACTTCATTTAATACAACCCAACTTTATCATCAAACATATTTAAAAGCAAATTCATCACTATCCCAGACATAGCACTATAGAGTCCCCATTTCTGTCACCAGTGTTACTTTTTCTTGAATTATCTTTGATACAGCCTAAGCTGCTTAACTATACTCTCCAAACTGAGATAATACAACTTCTTCAGATATTTTTTCTTTTAATTACACTGTTGAAAAATGTTTACATCAAATCTGCAAACAAAGGCATGAATTGGACATCAAGTCATTTAAGACTAGATTAATTAAACACATGGTGTTACTATAATTCTTAAAAATTGCCATACAAAATTTGTCTCTGCGTTTTATTTTTTAAGCATTATTTCAATCTTGGTCGTCTTTAATGGGGATATTTTAAAGAAAAAATAGGTCCCCAAAAAAGTTCATTGCATAATTAGCATAGGTTTTCTAAGATCAGCAGATTCTATCTTTGTTCTTATTTTGTGTAGGGCTCATTCCACAATACTCCATGCCCCAACCTTCTCACTTTCAACTGGTGATAAAATACAGGAGGAGGAGACAAAGAGGGAAAAGAACAAGTTATAGAACTGAAAGGAAAAGAATAAAGGAGTTTTAACAAAAAACTTTTTGGTCTGAACATATGAAAACAGCTACCATATCTTCAGTCAAAATCTCAATGGGCAAGAGTAATAAAATGCAAAACTCAGTCTATGGACATATAAGGTATTGTTTTAAAGTACGTTCAGACCATAGTTCATAAGGAACTGACAGAGAGAACTGGACTCAGCCTGGTGGTTCACAGACTACTACTTCTTCTTCCTGCTGCTAGCCATCAATCAGTCTGTTAGTAATGGCACTTACCATCACAAGTGGCCTAACTGGGATGTTTTCTTGTGACACGCCTGGTGGGGTATCATTCCATTCTGGAAATTTAATAGTATCCTTTTGATATGGGGGCCTCTTTGGATATGGTTTCAGTGGTGAGGAGGGAGGAAATCTAAAAGCCAAGAAGAAAACCATTATTATTATAGTCAGTGGAAGACAACACAGATATTTTAACAATAGTCACTTCTTGTATCCTTGAGAATTTATATAACAGCAAACTTTATATACTAAATGAGTTCATACTTAATCAAATCATTATATGTGGCTAACTATAACCAACAATATTTTTTTAAAATATTCACTCAAGCCAGCTGTCGTGGCTCAGTGGTTGAGCACCAACCAATGACGCAGGAAGTCACAATTTGATGCTTGTTCAGGGCATATGCCCAGGTTGTGGGCGAGGCCCCTAGTGTGGGGCGTGCAGGAGCCAGCTGATCAATGATTTTCATAACTGATGTTTCTATCTCTCCCTTCCTCTCTGAAATCAGTAAAAATATATTTTAAAAAATATATTCACTCAGCCCTGGCCAGTGAGGCTCAGTTGGTTGAGCATCATCCCGCACACCAAAAGGTCACAGGGTCAGTTCCCAGTCAGGGCAAATCCTCAAGTTGCTCGCTCAATCCACGGTTAGGGTATGTGTGGGAGGCAGCCAATTGATGTTTCTCACATTGATGTTTCCTCTCCAAAATAAATAAAAACTAATTTAAAAAATATCCACTCATCATGCCCATTAAACAACATTTGTGAAGAAAAACAGGAATCATATGACATATTTTTTAATAAATAGAATTTATTCTCTTATTATTTGACTTTCATGATTCAGTATGTTCTTAATAGGATGCCCAAGTGAGCCATTCCTTTCACTTAACTCAAAATCCTTACTGCTTCATAACTCCAGCTGAAATTTGTAGATGATAAGCATACAAATAAAAATTGATAGATAAATCCTCGGTAATACTTGCTAAGGAAGCATAATACTTGTTAAGGAAGCATATATTATAACAAAAATCATTTGATCTAATACTCTATATTATAACTACTTCTAATAAAGATTAATCCTCCTTCCCTAAAATATCCAATACTTCACACTGAGATTGAAGCTTTGGTCTAGAAATTCATTTCCAAGGAGGTAAAAGCTGTCCAATGTCATTATTCTGACTTTCAATAACCCACTATTCCTATCCCTCCAAGGTTTCAACAGCATTATTCCTGAATTAACTCATAGAAGCCTAAATACAATCTAACTCTCTATAAACTAGTCTAGATCATAACTGATAAAGAACAACAGAAATGTAATTAATACATAATTTACTTAAAGGCTCTTTTTCTATTAGCTTGTTAGAAAACAACACACTGTATTGCACTGCACTGCATTGATGAACTAATGCAAGAACTTTAGTTCTTAATGTTGGCCTAGAAGTCAGTAGGCAATTAACTTTTTGTTTTAATCCTCACCTGAGGACATGATTAGAGAGAGGAAGTGGGGGGGAGCAAACACATACATTGATATGAGAAATATTGATTGGCTGCCTTCTGTTCAGGGACCAAACCCACAACCCAGATATGTGCCCTGACCAGGAATTAAACCGGCAACCTTTGGTGTACAGGACAACATTCAACTCCGGTCATGTGGTAATTAACTTTTTATTTTGACTTTTTACTTATTTAAGCCAAAATAAAGGCTTAAAATTTTGTCCATGATACCCATTGGAAAAATCAATCAAATAAATTATAAAGATCTTATTCCTAAGACAAATGCAGAAATGAATAATTTTAAATGTCTATTGTTTACAAGGAAACTTTTATCGAGATGAATCAGAAGAATCACAAATTAAGAGTACTATGGAGAAATATTTCAAAAGCAGTCAGTCACAATAGACTTGGAAAAAGATGACTGACCAACAGAAGTTAAGTTTCATCTTCTCTGAAAAGAACATCCAATAACTATACTTTATTTGAAAGGTCAGTTTTGAGTCAGTAAGAAAATAATGAGGTTTGCAAATTATTAAATCAAGTTAAAAATAAACTGAAAGATAGCTTAAATTTTTTGTATTAAGTTACCAAGGCAGGTATCTTCAAATGATTCCCAAATACTAATTAAATGGAACTCTAAAGCCAGTAAAATTTACCCTAGTTCATAAGTAGAGCATGGCTTATAGAAATCCAATCCTGTTTTGTTTTTTTTAGATGCCTACAATCACAACAAAAATCCTATTTCCAGCCAAAGTATAGCATGTATGCATACATACACACTCACTCACATACACACTCACAGTCACATACTATACTGCATATAATTCCAGCAACAATGTAAGGACAGCAACGACCCTAAGAGCATCCTGCCACAAAAAGCAAAACCCATATAGAGATGCCCTGAGGATGAAACCTCGTATAGAAAGGAGAGGCCAAAAAGCACAAAGGCACCATGTTTATAAGCAGAGAAAGAAGCCATTTTTGAAGTGAATTTTCTAGCTCAACCTATGGCTTATGGGTAAAGGGCAAACTGCCAAGCCTATTTTAAATTTTTGACAAAAAAAAAAGAGCAAAATAAAACACTTTAAGCCCTTACCAGTTTGGCTTAGTTGATAGAGCATCAGCCTGTGGACTAAAGGGTCCCGGGTTTGATTCTGGTCAAGGGCATGTACCTTGGTTGCAGGCACATCCCCAGGGGGTGTGTAGGAGGCAGCTGATCTATGTTTCTTTCTCATCGATGTTTCTAACTCTCTATTCCTCTCCCTTTCTCTCTGTAAACAAAATAAAGTATATTTTTAAAAATAAAGTATATTTTATTTTTTTATTTTTAAAAATAAAGCATTATTTTTAAAAATAAAAAAATAAAACTCTTTAAGCCATCAAATAACATCACAAGGAGACAGCATTTCACTTACCAGACTGGCAAAAAATGTAAGTCAGTCAATATCAAATATTTTCTACTGGAATAAAAATTAGCATACTCAGTATGGAAAAGTTTGGAATTACCTAGTAAAGTTGAACATGCATTTTGGTATACCCCCAAATATAATTCTATTCCAAGGCAATTCAGGGTACCCTAAAGAAACATGTGCAAAGGGAAATAGGTTCATAAATGTTCGTGGGAGCATTGTTTATAAAGCAAAACAACTGAAAGCAACCCAAATCACCACTAACAGAAAAACAGATATATTGATATAACAAAATAGAATATAAATGAGAAAACCCAGGAATTATAATTAAGTATATCAACATGGATGAATTTCAAAAATTATGAGAAATATAAGAACAAATCTGAGAAGCACACACATTCTTTAATATCTTTTATATAAAGTTCAAAGCAAAAATATTTCAGAAACAAATCAATATACTGTCTAAGGATTTAAGTGTTAAAACACTAAAGAAGCGAGGGCAGGGATAAAAGGGAGAGATCAACCAAAGGACTTGTGTGCATACATATGAGCCTAACCAGTGGTTAAGGACAACAGGGGGTTGGGGGCATGAATGGGGAGGGCTGAAGGATGGGAATGGGGTGATAAGGACAAATAAGTGATACCTTAATCAATAAAGAAATTTTCTAAAAAGCCAAAAAAAAAAAAAAAGCGAGGGCATGATTAAGACAGAAATCAGGATATTGATGACCTCATACATATATGGATACAAGACACGGGGTGGGGAGTGGAGGGGGAGAGGTGAAGGCATATGCAGGGGGGAGGGTTGGGGGGGCAGAGGGGGAAGGCTGGGGGGAGGTCAAGGGGGAAAACAGGAGACATATGTTATTACTATTTGTAATCCTTCAAACAATAAAAAATATTAAAAAAAAAAAAGATATTGATGACCTCTAAGGAAAATATGCAAATTGTGGGTAAACAGATGTTCATTTTATCATTATTATATAAATTGTTCAGCTTCGAGTTATACATTCTTGCATAAAAAATCTATTTTTCAATAAAATTGAGAACATTAAAAAAGAACAGTGCTCCCTCTAGTGGGCTACATTTGTTTCTGCTTTATAAATTATAAATTTAATTCTAACATGATCATGGATTCCAGAATTTCAAGTTCCTTAGAAATGATCTAGTACAGACTCCACATTTGTACACTGAGGCTAGAAAAGGTACTACTGACCACAGTTATCATCCAACAAAAAAACTCAGGTTTCCTACTGCTACCTCCATTGACTGCAAAAAATAACTTTATAATAAAAGCCTAATATACAAATTGTTAGACCAGGAATTCGACTGCTTGCTATGAAGTGTGCTGACCACCCGGGGGCAGCATGAGACATGGTGGGCATTGGCAACTAGGCTCTGGCAGAGGGTGGCAGTGGAGGCGCTGCCAATTCCAATGGGTCCCCACAAGAGCAGGACTGCAGCAGAATGGTGGAGCATGTGAACAGGCAGCACCAAGCCAAGGCAGGTGTGGGGGGGAGAGGGTGGAAATTGCCCTGCCAATAGCCCCCACAGGCAGGATGGTGGAGTAGGTGAGGGGGTGGCGCCAGGCAACAATGGGGTACCAGGCGGGGCTGCCGGGCTGCTAGCCTAGGGGAATGAGCTGGGGCCTGATCCCTACAGGCCACCCAAAGGGACCCCACCTCCCACCTGTGCAAAGAGAAGGAGGAGGAGGAGGAGGAGAGGTGAGAAATAATTAGTTGTCAAACTAAGGAAACCTTTGAGTTCCCAGCTCAGAAATTATTCTTTATTCCTTACTCCAAGTGAATAAAGATTCCATTACAAATAAAGGATCAAATGAGTATTTTTAAGGAGGGGAGAAATATGACTTACAGGGAAATAGCATTTACAATAGCACCAAAACCTATGAACTACTTAAATCTAAATCTAACAAAACTTGTGTAGAGTCTTAAAAAAACACTGCTGGGAAATTTAAAACCTAAATAAACTGAGAAAAATACCATGTTCATGATTTAGAAGACTCAGTTTTGTTAATTTGTCAAATCTCTGCATGATTTACATGTTCCACACAATTTCACTCAAATCTCAACAGAAATTTTTGTAGAAATAAGCAAGGTGATTCTAAATTTATATAAAAAGGCAAAATTACAAAAGAGCCAAAACAATTTTGAAAAAGAACAAAGTTGGAAGACACACTACCAGATTTCAAGATTTGTTATAAACCCACTG